GACTTAAAGCATGAAAGGCAGAGATGAAAACTAAAGCATGGAAGCTGCTGAAAAGAGCTGATGAGATAGTATCAGACAATGGCCTAAATGAGCCTCTAGCTTGACCCAGGTTGATCCAGTGATGGGTCAGGGGTGCACTTAAGAGCAGAGGTCAATTTATCAGGAGAAACGTGTTTTGGTCCTGCAATGTGTCCAACTGTTAACTTGTTGATCCCTTCCACACTTCCAATCTGTAACTGACTGAGGTCTGCTTAAGCAAGGTTTAACTTAAACTCCTGGAGCTCATCAACCAGCAGACACTAAAGTTCGTATATAGTTCATTTTTTGTCTGTATTTTAGCATATTTGAAAAGTTTAAACTTCACTTTGAAAACAACGCTACATAACAGTTCATTTAACTAGATGTTTAAAAAAATTGAAACCTAAAGAAATAAGCTAAATAATAATAAAAAAAATTGATCTCCCAAAGTCTTTCTCACTTGGATGCACATGCTCCCAGTTTTACATGAGCAAGGTTTCTTGTAATAAATCATATGGAAGTAAATGACTTGCAGCTGCTTTGGCATATAATTATAAAAACTTCCTTGCTCTTTCAGAACTTTATTTAAAATGACTGCTGTCAAGATATGAAGAGAACAAAAACTGTTAGAAAGTTTAAGCGAAGGAACGTTTTAATCAGAAGTGTGAGCTTCAAGGTGTTTTTCATTTAAACAATAAAACCAACCTTTTCATGTGGAGAAAGGGGGGAAACAGCATATCTGCTCGGTGCTGTTTGCCGCATTATCCAATTAGTGGTTGGTGGTGAAAAACTGCTCAGCCACCGCAAAATCTGCTTTTCATAGTTCACGTTGGCTGTGAGAGACTATACTGATGAGTATTTACTGGAGAATCCAAGTATGTGACTCAAAACAACTGTGTTTTGTTCCGAGAAGAGTGTTCGTCAGTTGTCATAGGCGGCACATTTTACTGACAGTAAAAAACCCCAGTGTTTACTTCCTGGGCTGAGGCGGATTTTGCTGGTTTTTGTGGAATTGTAAGTCCAGTAATTATGGAGGCATGAGGCGTCAAACAGAAAGCTTGTGGTGGTTGCAGATGCATGAAACCAAAAGTAACACAGCGAGTGACCTGCCTGTCACACTGCAGTCTGTGGGACATAGCATGGGGTATGGAGAATCAAATGTTTTTGATTGTAAAATTTAAGAATCCAGAAATGTGTGCATGGACTTTTTTTTTTTTGTTTGTTTTGTTCCAGGTCTATAAACAGATACTTATATGCAAGGACACTAAGGGATATTTTACATATTTTAATGTGGCTTTATGTGAAAAGATTATGAGTAATTAAGCATTATTTGTTGCAGATAACATTTTTTTAATGGCTCAAGCTTGGAAAATATTCTTGGTTTTGGCTAGATTAACAGTTTAACAAATTGAATAACAGTGATCTTGAAACCATTGCAGTTTCAAAATAGTTCTGAGTGGTTCATGCAAAAGCTGTTTTCCATATAAAATTTTTACATCAGTCTATTTTGCAGCACAGCTATTCTAACAGAAATGTAGTGATATTCCTCAGTTCTAAACAGGAAGTGCTATAGCTAACTGTTGTGATTTCTGTTTGCATTTTTTATATTAACCATGAAGCTTTAGATAATCATCTAAAATCATCATCATTGTTACAAAAATGCAAAATCACTGTTTGTAAAATATTGTTTGGGTGAAATACGTACATTGGAATTTTTGAGATTAGAGTTGTTTTAAAGCCAAAGAAATCCATGAAGGATACCCCCCCACACACACACACACACACACACACACACACACACACACAGAGAGAGAGAGAGAGAGAGAGAGAGAGAGAGAGAGACATACACATAGACATTAGCTCATCCTTCTGATTAGATTTAAATTTTGCTTGTCCAATCTGAAGTTGTTTAAATAGCTATCTTCAACAGGTAAGATACTGATTATTTTTAACTTTCCACAGGGATCCACATCAAAAT